ACTCAGCATAATTACTGTTTTACAGCAGGTTCCTGTTCTGCAGCACATAAAACACTCAGAATTACAGCATCACAATCACATCAGTATACACCATAGACACAAAGACAAACAAGCATACCATTGTACCTTGTAGTTGAGGTTTGAATCCAAAAAAACCCAGGATCCTTAAACTCAGTCACAGTATCAATTTGTTTACCCTTGATGTAAATGTTTAAATTTGAGGTGTCCAATTTAGTCTTAGAGAAAAACAGACTTTTGTATACATTTAAAGTCAGACAAGATTTATTTAACCAATCAACCAATCCCTCCAGAGCTTTGGTTAATTTCTCAGCTGCAAGTTGAGTCGTTTTAGCATGCGTGTACAAAACAGTGTCGTCCGCATATAACTAGACTTCTACATCATGACAAAAGGTCATTGATGTAAAGACTAAAAAGCAGGGGTCTCAGCACAGATCCTTGTGGTGCACCCATTGTACATTCTAGGAAACTGGAACGTACATCTTTGATTTTAACACATTACATTCTGTTACATAAATATGATGCCAACCAAGAAAGGGTTTTAGATGAGAAATTAAAGTTTGATAATTCGGAAAAGGAGAACATTGTGATAAACTGTATCAAAAGCTTTATGCAAGTCTAAAATAACAGCACCAACAACTCCACCTTTATCAAGTTGTAGTCGTATCTGCTATGTAAGGTGTATGATGGCTGTTTCTGTTGAGTAATGCTTCCTGAAGCCAAACTGTACAGGGCTTAAACCTGGGTTGCAGCCATTTAGATGGGTTATTAGTTGTTTTATAACCATTTTCTGCTACTTTTGATATTACCTGCAATATACTCACTGGTCTATAGTGGCTAACATCATAACTATTTCCAGATTCAAAAATGGGAGTGACAACTGCTTGTTTGCGGTCATTTGGAAAGAAACTGTGCGCAAGGGAGAGATTAATTAATTAGGTGTGTAATGGGGAGGGTTAAGACATCCGTATGCTGTTTGACAAAAACTGTGTCCAGATGAAAAACATCTCTACTTTTTGAATTTCTTAGACTGAATTATTTTCTTGACTTCCTGTTCAGTAACTGTATTCAAATTAAAGCCCACATTAAAGTGTTTATGTATGCAACATAAAAATGTAAGTCTAATTAAACTGTGGCTCAGATACAACACGATCCAAAAGGACAGACAAAAAGCTCCATTTGGGATAAAACCCTGTGAATCATGAATGTGTTTGAGCAGGAGACAAACATTTGGTGCAGACAGGGCCTGTCACATGTCATCTTCATGTTATTTGCCTAAAGGTGTAATTAGAGATGTCTTCAGCCAAGACACACTGTGACATGATATCCCATATGTTTTGTACAGAGTGAACTGACTGGTGCTTGGCTCCTCTGAATTTTTCACTCATGTAGATAAATAAGAGAAGATATACTTTATTGTACTCTAATGAAAATTTGTTGCAAGCCGTGGTACAGCAACGGCAAGACATCCTTGTTGCGACCAGAAACTTTACAGTAGTTTTCAACAAGACAGCTGAATTAAAACATGGCATCTGAAACTAAAAACAATAAATTTGCACCAAAATAAAAAGTATTGTACTACATCCTAACACAACAGCTTCACTGACGTTATAATATAAAACCAGCAATAAAACTACAATTTTTAAAAGAGAAATAAAATAAACAATATACAAGAATAAAACCAGGACTAAATCTGAAAGTAAAACTAAAGAACTGATCCAGTAACTTTAGTATTGATACAGTACAACAATATGTTGTTGTGGATTCTCAGTCATCCAGGACATAGAAAACAAAAAGACAAAGCAACTTGACTTCTGTCTTGTAGCTGAAGACGTGCAGAGCTATAAGATTTAAACTGCATGACTCGAGGATAGCATTAATTTCATTATTTGGATGATCTGCTTACGCCAACATCACTGATGTAAAAGTTGGATGAAATGTAACATCACAGTCCAGACTGGAGTCACTTTGAAATGATCAGATATGAATCCAATTTACTACCACAAAGAACTGGGCCAGATTTGTCACGTTCAGATGGTTATGAATAAATGCAATATGGGTCGAAAAGGGGCAAAAACAAAACAAAACAAAAAAAAAATCTGACTTGGGTCTCATTTGCCTGCAGTGTGAACGTAGCCAAAGTTATAATAATGTTTGTATTAACTGCAGCAGCCATCCTGAACTAGACTGACACCATTAGTTAATGAGTTATAAATATACAACCAGTAAGCACTTTCTTACACTGATTTATGAAAAGCTTGAATACTACTAAGCCAGGAAACAAAACGAAATCTTTACAAACACACAGTAACTTTCTGTGGGGAAGCTGACACCTCACACAGCCTAAGGATAGCAGTCTGTTGTCTCCATGTCAGCCTGAGTTCAAAAAGTTGTTATCTAATCAGTGTGTACTGCAGTGACCTACAGAATCTGAAAGTTCAGCCCAACATCCAGAGGACAACAATCAATAAACTTTCTAGCACAGCAGTGGCACAAAGCTAATTAAATTCAGAAAAACTGGGCCTCAGACTGTTAGTTTAGACTGGGGAGAAGGAGTAAATTCCAGCACACTAACAAGGGCTTCAATAGATAACTCATCTATAACCTCAGGATGAAGGTAGAAATTAAGGTTTTTGTAGCAGACAGGTATGTTAGGAAAAGCACAACTGTGGCATAAAATAAAATGAGAACAAAATGAAACCATCAAACTAAAGAAGTGAAGGTTACACACTGCCCGGCCACAAAAAAAGTGAGGTCTATGATGGGGTTGATGCAGTTGGTCAGGTCAGCTGACCTCCTGAATATACTGAATGACCAGGTGATTCCATCAATGGGTTGTTTCTTCCCTGATGGCACGGACGTTTTCCAAAAGACAATGTCAGGATTCATGGGGCTCTTATTGTGAAAGAGTGGTTCATGGATCATGAGACATCATTTTCACACACAGATTGGCTRCACAGAGTCCATTGAGAATATCTGGGATGTGCTGGAGAAGGTCAGACTCTGCCATCATCAATGCAAGATCTTGGTGATAAATTAATGCAACACTGCATGGAAATAAATCTTGTCACATTGCTTATTTAAACAATGACACAGTGAATGCTATTGCAGTCTTTGCTACCCACCTCGACAGAATTTAACTCATTAATTTAATTCATTTAACTGAATGTTTCTTCTTTGTCTTTTTGTATTATTTGAAGTGTTTGAGCTGGTTGTCTTTGTTTCCAGATAGCTGGCTGTTTTGATTTGCGGACTGATTGACTTGTTTTAAAGTGTTTTTATTTAGTATTGGACCACAAGAATATTAGTCCCTGCTAAAGCAGAGAATAACCCCGGATTTACACTATATGCGTCTCCGCTGCGCTGCGCTGCGGTGCGCAGGTCGTAGCTGTTCGTTTGTGTCTCATTTTATACAGCCCCAGCTCCGCTGCGACAGAGAGTGTGGAGGAAGGAGATCGCATGATAAATTCAGTGATAAATGTGGAAGTCAGAGAAAAAAATAATTAATTCAGTGAAAGACGAACTCCAAATACAGCTGAAAACATTGATATAAAAGCTTTTGTTAACTATGGTTGAAACTGTCTCACTGTCGGCTTTTTGAAACTTCTGATTTCAAAATAAAATCCACGTGTATCGTGTGTGTACACATATGCTTCATGCTACGTTTTCATCTACTTCCCAAACAGAACGATACATTCTGGCAGCATTTGTGTAGAAATATATCCYTATATTTATCAATATAACTGGGATTTCGACATTATTCCGACAAATTATTCCACCTAATAGTGTCTTATTTTGAAAATACGGATGTCGTGCTCGTTTTTTCCTGTTGGT